TGCGCAGAGCTGCTGGCAGTCGTTGGTTTAACAGTCGCAGTCGAAGTTCAAGCAAAAACTGATTGCCGATAAAATGCGCAGAGCTGCTGGCAGTCGTTGGTTTAACAGTCGCAGTCGAAGTACAAGCAAAAACTGATTGCCGACAAAATGCGCAGAGCTGCTGGCAGTCGTTGGTTTAACAGTCGCAGTCCAAGTTCAAGCAGAAACTGGTTGCCGACAAAATGCGCAGTTCTTCCAGCAGTCATTGGTTTGAAAATTTTCATTTTGATTTCATTCTGATTTTGGCCAGCGGCGCAAGTCGATGAATAAGCAATATCTTTGCTTTTGCAAGTTGTCGGCAGTCGCAGTCGAAAAATGAGAAATTTCTAGATTCTGCAAGCGGGCAGCAACGACAGTCAATTGGTATTTTGTGTTTGCTTATGATTTCTTCAGAGCTCGCAAATTACTGTTGACACTTGCGAAGTGTTCGAAAAATACAGTTGAATTTTGGTAATTCTTTTTGTTGAAAGCGTTGCTCAGTTTCTCCATACAAAAAAATTCTCGAACAAGAAATTGCCAAAAATCAACCTAGCTACTTCAAACTTGCATTTTATTGTACTAAAATTTCTTATGCCACAAAATTCCATACCTTAAAAAAGATTTAAAATTTTTATGAACATTTCGCTAATTTTTGCTCAAATTTCTTTATTCCATGTACGCATACATATTACATACATATGTTCATATAAACATATTTAAATTTAACTATTTTCACAAACTAAACTCTTTTTAATGCATATATGCGTCATATTTAGAACAAGTGGTTAATTTTGCCTTAATGTATCTACATACATATGTACATATGTTTGTGAAAATCAGGCAAAACTGCATTGCACACTGCGTTATTTCGATAACAAAGTATGCGTTAAAAAGAATCTCGGTTACATATGTACACAGATATATTTATTTATGTTTGTGCACACAGGTCATTTGGTAATACAATAACACATGTACATACATACATGTATATGTATTATTTTCTGGATTTTTAATGATGTGGTTAGGATCTATTGTTTTATGTTTAAAAGGAGTGTTTTTAGTTTAGGAGATTAGGAGAGGAGAGAGATTAGACAGGCAAACGGGTTGTTTGGTCAGCAAAAATTTATGGGATAAAAATTGCATCAACTAAGAATTTCGAGTAAAGGATTGTATATACACATGCAGATATGTATATATATACATATATCCACAAATGTATGTATTTATTTGTGTATGAATAGATATGTTCTCATGTACAGAAGAATAGATGCGTGCTATTTTGACCATCTACTAGGTAGGTACATACATATGTGCATACATATCTATGTAAATAGGTATAATATTTTTAATATTCAATAATTTCTTAAAAAATTTCAACTTATACATGAAAGAAAGCTGCGAGCGCCTTGTTACCTGCGAGGCATTGAGCACGAGTATGCTCGCTCGTTTTGGAAAAAACGACAATTAATGCATAGAAATATCCGTAAAAGACCAAAAAATACATTTGGTTTGTACTCAGCTGCAATTGAAACCCATTGTGTATTGTTAGTGTTTTGGAAATTGGTATCTCTACCCGTTCGGGTTGTTTTCGTACTCTGGTCACAACCGTTATTTGCGAGTTCTGTACGTTTTTGGTTTGTAGTTAGCATTTAGTTTCATTTGGTTCAGCAACATATAAATTTTACTATGGCAGCTAAAAACGAAATTTGGATGTATTTCGAAAACAACGCAGACATGGGTTTAGCTACGTGTAAAACGTGCAAAAACAAGCTTAGGAATAATCGAGTGTCTAATTTAAAAGCGCATTTAATTAAATTGCACAAAATTAATTTGAATGAAGCAAGTAATGAACAGTTTGAACCACCGGAGTCGTCAATTTCATCTAAAAGTGCTGGTAAAATAATTCGAAAAAAGAAAATTAAAATTGAGGTGAATAAAAAACAATTGATAAGGTCATATATCGGATTGGTAACGGAGGACTGCATTCCGTTCAATATTTTGAATTCACCAAACATACGAAATTTCATAGATCCGATTTGCGATGGCCTTAGAGTGTCGGACGGAAAAAAAATTACGCTGAATGCATCAAACTGCAAAAAAACATTGTTTATCGTTGCGAATAACATAAAATTGGAAATCACCAATGAAGTGAAAAACAAACTGTTATCATTGAAAATAGACAGTGCTACAAGGCTGTCCAGAAATATATTTGGTGTAAGTGCTCAATTTATTAGTGCGGTACGAATTAAATCTATTATTTTGGGAATGATAGAATTGAAAGGAGCTGGATCAAGCACAGCCAAAAATCTTGCCATTGAAGTGTTGAATGTGCTAAAGCGATACAACATTCATTTAACCCACATCGTCTCGATAACATCTGATAACGGTGCAAACATGCTGAGAGCGACAAACATTTTATTATTTATTTCTGAGGAGGATGTTGAAGAAAACGACGAATTCTGCACTAACGATGAATATTAAAAAAAAATTGAACTTGTAGAAAAAGTGCCAAACGTGCTAATAGGAAATATCCAATTTTCCGATGTGCAGCACATACAACCCAGCTGGTCGCTCTTGACGTTGCAAAATCGTCTGGCATGCTGAAATACCTATGGAATTGTCGTAATCTTACAAAATACATCAGAAAAACGTCAAATGGCTATCGCGAAATATTTCAGTTAAAAGGATTGAAAATGCCCCAACTAGATTGCCCTACGAGATGGGGATCCACGTATACTATGTTGCAGGATTTATTAGCAGCAAAGCATATGTTAACTAAAATCGAATCTATTAAAAATAAATCTGAGGATGAAAACTTCGAAGTGGATACCTTGGTTTGGGATTTCATTGAATGTTATTGCAGTTTCCCATCCCTTGCAAAAAACTATAACAAAGTTTCAAAAGGAGCAATTACACTACGGAAACTTTTACGCACAGTGGCTTAAACTAAAAATAAGCACCGAAAAAATTGTAAGCGATTCAAGTCAGGAGCTAATAACAACAATTGGGAACATGATTTTAAAATCAATAGAAACACGAACAATAACGTTATTTAATAATACATTTTTAATTTCGTGCTTGTTTCTGGACCCTCGCTTTCAACATCTTTAACTGCACAGCAAAAAACCGAAGCTACTCTTCATTTAAAAACAATTTGGGACAGAATCCATGAAAATAATCCTATTGAACCCTTATACTCCGCGCCAACTTCTGCTTCCACACCGGCCGGCAACTTTTTTAATGAAGAAGATGAACTCATGTATCAATATTTAGTACAAGGAACCCAAGCCGAAATCAACAATACGTTCGACGCGTATGCAAGAATTGAGCATCTCCAACTGCCTTTCCAAAGAATTGACGATGTGCTAAAATTTTGGAAGGGAAAGCAGTACACTGACCCAGAATTGTACGAATTAAGTAATGTTTGTTTGCAGTCCCGCCAACTCAGGTTAATATAGCGTTTTCATCATTATTTCCCAAGTCGTTTTTTTCCTGCTGCTCAAAAGTATTAAATGCAGAGTCCACAAATCTCAGACAATGTTATTTGGAAAATTTAACATGATTGGATTGTGATAATTTGAAAATTAGGACCCTTTTTCCATTGCACAATTATCAATACAGAAACTTAAAATTGAGAGGGCGAAAAAAAAACAGCTTAGGAAATAGTGGCCACCCTGATGTACATATCTATGTACGAGTACATATTCACTAAGGCTTTACAAATTTCGTTTTTAACAGGTCACAATTGAGCGAGCATTTTCAACACTAAGGCTTACTGATTACCGTAATCAGCTTAGTCAGGAGACACTCGAAAATATTTTGTTGGTAAAACTGAACCCAAGCTTTCTTGACACAGCTATAGAAACTTTACCTCTCTTCGAAGATACACCAGATGAATAATATCTAGTCGTAAATTTCTTATTTTATATGTTATAATTAGCAATGAATTCAATGAAGACTGTATTTTTCTTTTATTTTTGATTTAAATTTTTCAATATGAAATAAATAATAAGTAATATATTAATAAAAAACAACACTACTTAACAAATTTCAAACTTTTGATTTTTTAAGTTTTCAACCTACTATGAACGGGTAGAGATACCCACTTCCAAAACAGGTACGAAAAGTTGTTGTTCCTTTTGTACTGTTAGGGCGCACTAACAATCAGCGTTGCCAGGTCTTCGACATGAGAAAACGTCCCTCTTGGTCTGAAAAAAACGTCATTTCCTACCCAAAAACGTCTTTTTCAAATGTATGCACCCAGAATTGTTCTTATTAAACTTTTATTGTATGCAATGGTACATATGTACGCAAGGTATATTAAAATGTCATTTCTACAGAGCACATTTAAAATTCATTGTAAACTGGTTTGATATCGTTAATATAAGATTTATTATGAAAATAATTCAAGATCAGTTCTACTTACTAGATTTAGTAATAGAGAAAAATTACTGGGAAGGTAAAAAACGTCAGTTTTTACACAAAAAACCTCAAAACGTCAACAGGATACAAAAAACGTCCAAATGACGTTAAAAACGTCAACCTGGCAACGCTGCTAACAATACACGATGGGTTTCAATTGCAGCTGAGTACAAACCAAACGAATTTTTTGTTCTTTTGTTCATTGCGTAGTTAGGATTGTAGTAAAGATACTCAGGGTTTTTACGGTTGCCTATGCGGATATTTCTATGCATTAATTGACGTTTTTTGCCA